TTTGCTAGACCGACCCACTAGGAGGCCACCCCCTTTGTTAGACGGAACCCCTCTGGTGGCAGAGTACTTGCCTTGCTTGCGCAATGGAATCGAGCTTTGTTTTCGCGTCTGGGCGCGCTACGCGCGCGCGCTGCGCGCGCGCTAAAAAGGTTTTTTATTTATTAATAAGTTGCCACCGGAGAGGGCGCGCCCGGCTTTTTTCTCTGACATTGAAAACAATGCTACAGGCAACATTTGGCAGTAAAATTTCAATAACATTGCAGAGGCAATGTTTTCCTTTTCTTGGGATCTGCAGGCAAGACCACCGTCTGACGTGCCATAGACCGTCACAGAAATTCTTTTCATTTCTTGCACACCACTGTCAAGCAATTCTTTGCCATTGCATTCGAGTTTTCCCCGTTTCTACGGTTTCCAACAGTTTTCTTTTCTTTGTAACGTGCATCTGGCTTCCCACTTCTTGGAGCTTTGTTGTACGGTCTCGATTTTTTTCAGGCAAAAATGGAGAAACTTGGTTTGCTTTTTGAAAACACACAAATGCTCCACGGCTGCCGTTTCGCAGTTTTCTCATTGTTTTCTCTGCACGGCGGTTGTTCGTTTTCTGACTTTCTTGGTTGTCCATCTGTGGTTTGCTTAGGTTTTCATGCTGCAACGTACTATATTCGGTCAGATTGTTGAAGACTCGGTTCTGAGTGCGGATTTTGTTTCGATTTTCGGTGCTGCTGTGAGTGTCTCCATCTTTCCATTTTCTGCAAACTTCTTGATTTTTTCAATGTCAGGTTTCCGTTTTTGTGCAGGTTTCCATTACGGGCCTTTCGCAGTTTGGCCTGCCAGTTTTATGTTGTGTACTTTTTGCGGGTTTGTTGTCTTTCTGTCTGTTTCCTGTCGGTTTCCAAAGTTCCTTTGCATTGTCTCGGTTTCCATTGTAGGTTTCTCATTTTCCACACAGACTTGCAACAGTTTTCGTATGCTTGACTTTTCTTGCGGTTTCTTTCCAAGATTTCGGGAAGACTTGGCAAATTGCCGTTCCAATTTTCTGTGCCGTCCATAAGCCCGCTTCTAGGTCCAACAATTGTCGAGATTTTTGCCAAGTGCTGGAGGGACCTCCAAAGTAGAAATTTTTGTGAAAGCTGATCAGAATCTATTTCACTGCAAATCTTCGCGCTGCAGTTCATACAAGCTGTATTATTTGTGTTCTCTTGCCACATTGATCTTTTCTTGGCTGTCTCAAACATTTTTGCCGCAGTTTTTTGCAAATTATGGACTGAATTTGAACTGCTGCGAGACTACAGAAGTAACATACTACAACCACACTTTGCCGCGCTGTTCCCTCAAACTGAACTCAGCAAATAGTTCTGGAGATGCGGCCCAGATTGGAAAGAGACGCTCGCAACCAAAAGCCGTTCTCAAAAAGAATGTGTAATTGTCCATTTGATTGGCTCCCTTCTTGAAAATCAAATGCTAGAGGCTTTCTTAGTATTGAAATCAAAGGCATGCTTTGCAGGACTTTTTGGCCGGCATGCTGCACGAATGGTGTGAAGCGGCTGCAAGAGTGATCAGAGTTTTGCAGTATTGGAACTTAGATGCCCTCGCAGTCAGTTTTAAACTTGGAAGCGGATGCGTTTGCCAAGATAAGCTACCAAGCAGTTTCAACTACCAAGCAGTTTCAAGTTGCGTTCCGACTTTCAGTTGAACCAAAACATGCGGACATGAGTCCTCAAGGATCTCAGATTTTCACAACAAGAGGACATGCTACAATGGCCGAACGTGCTATCAGATCTCTGAAAGAAGCGCTCGTTCGCAGGCTCACGGCAGGGGTGGAAAGAAGAAACCAATGGTTTCTTTTGCTTCCGGGCGTTATTGCCCAGTACAACGAAAGACCACACGCCACCACCGGCTTAGCTCCCAACATCGTGTACGACGACCTAGAGCAAGCTGACATTGCTTGGAGCGCATGAAAAGTAAGGTTAAAAGAGGTGCTGGGGCGAGACCTCAGATAAGCGTGGAAGATCTGGTCAGGGTGAGGGTCAAACCTATAGAAGGCAGGGGATCTTATAGTATGCACATCCGATATTCTGAGGTGCGATTCGAGCTGGGTAGGTGAGGATCGCCCAACAGATTCACAAGCAATGCATCGGCCGTCAGCTTTCAGCGTTCCTTATCTACATGTACACATACGCTGACCGCAGTGCGTCCTAAAGATCCAGGTCCTTCGGCGGTCCAAGACCTTGCAGTCGTAGATCGCAACAGCAGTAGGTAGGAAACGCCATGGAGTCACGAGGATCTACAAAAAGCAGTTTGACTGATGTGACACCATTGGAGCCACATGGAGTACCACTTCACGTTTGTCTCCGCGGCTTCGGCCAGCACTTCACCTCCTCGAGTGCCACAGTGGACGCGTCGACGACAGCTCAGGTGCGGCCAGTCAGTTCCTACGACCACTTCATCAGTCACGATTGGGGGACTCCCCGTTGGATGAAAGTCCTCTCTTTGATGATCGTCTTCAATGCACCTGCTGCTTTCTGGACCACCCTGCTCGTGTCTATCATCTTGGGAATGCTCCAAGCATTTGGGATCCTTCCGGAAGGAATGTGGGTGGCCATCATTCCGCACCTGTCCTTCCTGTTACTCCTTTGCTTTTGGCAGCGTGTGCGGGCCCTTCTTCTGGGCCCCAAGAACGTCTTCTTGGACATCTTGTGTATCCCTCAATATGATGACAAGCTGAAGGCGCGAGGCATCATGGGACTCGGAAACAATTTGGAGTGTTCGCAGGAACTTACCGTGCTTTGGTCGCCGCGATACTTCACTCGGCTTTGGTGCCTTCGTAGCTGAATGAATACACTTTACACTTTTGGGGGATAAAATGATCCCCTATAGAACTGAAAGTGTACACTTTTTGAGGCTTATGAACTCAGCAACTAAGGTGCACCTACGAGATTGCAATGTTCCTCCGCCGACCCGAGCGCTTGCAGAAGATCCAGCTGGTGCCCGTTACTATGCCGGTCATCCTTTGCCTCTTCAGCGCAGCATGGCTCTGTGTGCGATTGCAGCTCACCGTTGTGGAGTCTGTGACCGTCGATTGGGACGACACTGGCTTGAGGCTACTTGTGAGGATCGGCCTAATGCTTCTGTCGGTTCCGGTCATGTTCGTGATGAAGACCTATTTGGGAATGGGTTTGGTCCAAGACTTGGAAGAGCTGCCTAAGCAGCTACAAGAGTTCAGCATTGCAGACAGCCAATGTTCTTGCTGCTTCTTCGAGCACAGACATCCCCAAACTGGCAAAAGGATCATGTGTGACAGGGAAGTTGTGTACCAGGCGGTGAATGATTCATATGATGATCAAGAGGTCAGACGTACCTATTCCCACGACGTCTCACGAACAACGTCCGGCCTAGATGTCTTTGATGGGGCAGTCAGGGGTCAGCTGTCTGATAGAATTTCAGAACAGCGCTTGAGCAGCAGTCTCATTCCTCTTGACCTTTTCATTTACATGGTTTGGGCCTGGGACATTCCTTGGCTTGCGCCAAGACTCCATCTCATTTCCCAAGCTGGCAACCTTGGCCGCCACCCGGAATATGAGCATTATGACGACCTCTTGCGAGTCTTGTACGCATTGGCAGACATGATTGACTGGGCGAAGGGGCTGCCATCCATCCTAGTACTGCTCTTCGTGTCCATGCGGCTATGGAAATTGATGTCACGCTGGAAATGTTGCCCTCGGATTGTGCGGGCGCTTGCCTCCGTGCCCATGGTCATTCTGAGCACTCTGCTTGTTTTCGTCATCATATCACTTGCATTGGACTTGACCGAGGATGACTGGAACCCTTTGAACACACTGCCTTTCACCTTCTTCCTGCTGCTGGCAATTTGTCTTTTAAAACCGCCCAAGGCGAAACTCTTATCATTCGTCTGGAGTGTTGTGCAGCCAGGGCGCGGTCCATCCGCGAAGCCCTCTGCGAGCGAAACTCGCAGCTGGAACGAAAAGCCGGACCAGAGCACAGAAGAGCTCAGCTCCACTTCACAAGACGACAATTTCGACGGTAAATTATTCTCAGTGTAGCTCGAGATCTCGTTGCCTTGAAGGAGCTTGAAGAAGCTCATTCTCGAAAAATCCATAGATCAGCAGTTGTTTCGAGGATGGTCGTTCAGATGGATTTGGTAGCTCGGCATTGTGGAAACTGCCATCATTTATAAAGCCACACTCTGATGCCGCACTGCTTAGAAGCAGGAGAAACTTTCAGGAAACTTGGTCAAGAATCTAAACCCCAAGACGGCTTCACACGGCCTTAGCCAGCCGTTTCCAACTATTTTAGCTTGCACGCAGCCCTGAAACGCCTAGGAAGCCTGCCAAAAGCTCTTAATTATAATTCCCGTAACAACTTGTCATCGCGAAGCTTATAGCATATAACTCAGCGTTCTAACTTGCAAAGGTACGTAAATATGCCTTCGCGAAAGTTCCGCGATGGTTTTGTTAAAGTTAATTTTTTATGCGTGAAGAAAGACATTCCGGGATGAAGCAATTTAGATCAACAACCATGTATGTACAGGTATGTATGTATGTATGTATGCATGCATGCTTCCAGTCAAGGCTCTTCAGTGAACGCTTGAAGCAGTAAGAACCGTGGTCTCTTGCACCCGCATAAGTGATCCATGCCAAGCTCACGTAGGTAATGCACCACCGCGCCCGCGGAGATGTTTGACGCAGACGCGATGAGCTTGCGAGCCCACAGTTGGTACGAGTCCTTCGTGTTCTACGCACGCCCCGCGCACGCCCCGAAAGCCAAACTTGTTTGTTCGTACTGGTCCGAAGTGCTCTCTTTCCGGGGTGGTGCATAAGTCGCCACCCCACTTCGAGACATTGTATCAGGATGCACCTGTTTTGCAATGTGTTCATGCTTGGCTAATCGCCTTTCCACTCCATTGTATCAGGATACACCTGTTTCGCAATGTGCGCATGCTCGGCTGATCGCCTTTCCACTCCATGCAAAAGTTGAGCCCGCTTTAGCTGCACAGCATTTTGTTTAGGCTTTAGTATTCTGGTTGCTACTGCAACACGTTTTCCAGGGGAAGAACTTTTTTCAACAACGCCAGCGATCTTCTGCTTCGACTGACAGGGTCATTGGAAGGAGGAACAGGGAGACCAAGTTCTGTTCGAAAACGGAATGACAAATGCGTATGGCTTCCGCCAGTTTGCCCTAGCTGCCCTAGCTGCGCTCGCACCACTCAGTGTCCAAGTTGAGATTTTGTTTCATTCAGCACGTGTGGAGGGGCCTCCCACATGGCTGAAACACGGGCGACAAAACAGGTCCTGTGATGTCTTGGTCATGGCCGCATATTGCGCCGCGTTTTCCTCAATTGCATGTTCTGGAAATCGCATAGTTTGTGAGCAGGCTCCAGACAGATGCCATGTACGAAGGCGTATTGCGGCTTCAAAACAACATCACCTTGTTGCTGCCCTGCGTTGGCATGATGCGGGCTATGATTTAGCATGAAAAACATGGCGGAGACATGTCCGCGATCATGAACAGGCAGGGTGTGTTCGCACCGCATTCACACGATTGCCCAATGTCTTTCCGCAGGCTCGGCACTGAAGTGGTGCACGAGATTTGCACCAATCAGGTGGTGGTGACATTGCAGGCTACGGATGTACGCACCCTGTAACGGCCAGCATGAGAAGCACGGAACCAAGCACATAGCATGGTTGTTTTCCATAGCATCCAAGCTGCGGGTCCGATGTGTCAACGAACGTTTTTGCTGTGTGTCGGGTCTCTCTAGGTCAGCTGACCGCTCTGCTACGTGTGGATGGAGTGCCTCTTGCATGCATGCGGAGAGGCCTGCGTCAAAGAGCTCGTCGAAAACTCATTGGATGCCGGTGCCTCGAAGGTGGAGGCCTGATACGCGGCCCTCTGCAGGTCTAAAGCGTCTTTCGGGATGGGTTCTGACTCCCTCATTGCCATGCCTGGGTTTGTTTAGCAGTGGTTTTAGGTGGATGTCCGTGATGCCTGGGCCAGCTTTCTTGGATTCGGGACTTGTGTTGCCCACAGAAGCCTCTCGTGTCCGTGACTATGACATTCCATGGCAGGCTCGTGCTCCAAGTGCAATCGAACCCGGAAATGTTGCAAACCCCAAATCTGTTTCGGGTGCCAGATCCGCCTCCGCGAGTCTGGGGCTGAGCTGTTGGAGGCCCGTGTTAAGACCTGCCGAGGGTGATGGTCTTGCGATGTCTCTTTCGTGTGCTGGGTTTTGTTGGACGTTGCTCCCAGGGGCAGGCAAGCAGAGTCACAGGTCGAATAAGCCCGGACACAGCTAGGTGTAGCACACAAATAGACTGCCCCTCTGTGTTCAGAGATAGATGCAAGAAGAGTAGGAAAGGGAAACAAAAAAGTTGCAGCTCTTTCCTGTTCTGCTTTTGCTAGAGCCCGAGAATTCAATAGCCTCAACACCTGAACCTCATTTAATGGTCCATCCCCTTCCGTGGGCAGTAGGTGGTGGACGATGGCAGAGGCATCAGTCCCGACGACTACGACAAGGCAACGCAATCTCCGGCCCCAATCTCAAAACGCGACAGCCCTCTCTCGAAGAGGTTGCTGCCAGACACGCGACTTCCAAGATTCGGAAGTACCAAGATTTGAGCAGCGCGGCTTGCATTTCGTTGATGCAGGGCTTCCAGTGCCAGGGGATCTTGATGGGAGGCAACAACCGGTTCATGGGATGCGATACCTCAGGTTCTGATGCCTTCTCGACATTCGGTTTTCGAGGAGAAGCACTGTCTGCAATATGCGCCATGGGCGACATGACGATAGCTACGAAAACTGCCAATGAGTCGGCAGCCGCCCGGTTTGTAATATCAGAGTTACGCAGGCATCCTCCGTTTGCAGCTCTTGCAGTTTTCAGGTCAATGCTTTGGGCCTCCTGTTTGGAATGTGTTCGCAATTGAGGCTTCTTTGCTGTCCTATGCCGCTTGGTGGAGACAAGAGGGCTTCTCTAGATTCTAGCTTGAGACTTATCGCATACCGTTAAAAAGGGGTGCATCAATGTCAATGTTGAATGCAGCATGTTCACTACCGAATGCCTCGAACATGGCCACATTGGCTACATCGTGTTCGGGGAGCCTAAGTAAACACCGCTCATAGAGAGTCTCGAGGACCGCTTTGGCAGACTGGTTTCGCGGAACGCCCTCGCACGGGAGACAGGCACTACTGTCTCGGCATCGACCTCGGAACAGCTCGTTGTGGAGATTCTACATCAGATCGACAGTCTGGTAAGCGGAAGGTGCGGGAGCTCTTCAAGCGGTTGCCCGTGCGGCACCGGGAGTTTCAGAAGAATGCCAAGGCCCAGGTGCGAGTACCACGGGAGACGCACAAGCATGCGCTCTTGCGGCGCTTGCACGCGGTGGTTCGCCACCCTGGCCAGGTCGGGGCCACACTCCGCCTCATTCAAGCCTATGCTGTCGCGGAGCCACAGGCTTTTGAACAGTGCGCGACTAAGTCTCGGTGTTTTTTTGAGTTGGGAGATTCGGAGGTTCGGTTCAGCGTGGTCTCCGAGAAATTGCGTGGGCCTGGCAGCGGCCGAACCACGTTGATGTCAACGTCAGGCGGCCGCACGAAGATTTGGTTTTGGGTTAAAGAGCCAATGACCATTGCAGGTACAGCGCGAAACTGGACGCAGGCCTCTGGGAAGCCTTGAGTGTTCCCGCTGTAAGCAAGGGAAAGGGCACTCCTTTTTGGCATCGCACTTGGTCATCGCTTCCGTGCTGTGGCTCGGTAACCCCTCGAAAGTCTGATGTGTGATGGTGTTTAATGGAGAGCGGTGGCAATGCCTGACCTTGCATCTTCAGCAACTGAGGCGAGCTAGGGCAGCGAGGACTGATAGACAGAGCAGTTCGGCACAGAGCTAAAGGAAAACTGAAACGGAGAGAGCTAAAGCCAAGCGGAAAGGCCGCTGCTGCCGTGCTGGGCGATGCAGCGCTGTCGGGAGTGCTCACGATTGCTGCCCCTCGTGCTGCAAGACTTGCCAAGCTTCTCGGAACAGGAATTCGACCCGAAGAAACCTGCCTGGCGGGGCATGATACCCTCGCGTGCCCTCCGGCGCTGAGGCCACTATGGAGGGCTGGGAAGTGGAAGGCACGGCTGGGCTCAGAGGGATCTGGGATCGAGCTGCCGCAGTTTGATGCTCATGACATTATAGAGTCGCTGGGAATGAAGTGGTCAAGCGCGGAAGAGCTGCACTCTGGCACAAGTCATTCCTTCCTGAAGTGAAACGGACACGATCCTAGATTCGGCGCTGCGAAAGGCCTGATTTCTCCGCCCTTCGGCGGCCGGCGAAGCCGGGATGCGCAGCTCTTCTTCGTGAACCGCAGGCCGGTGGATCCCCCGAAGCGCATCGCCAAGCTGATCAATGCGACGCCGGCAGGTTTGGGGGCTGCTTTGGACTGATCGGTATCGGAAACTCGAGTCCTAAGTTGCTTCTTGCGGTTGATGCGTAGACCGCCAGGACACTTACCACCAGTACAACTCCAGAGCGTGGCCTTTGGTGATTCTGGCCTTTACGGCACCTCAAGGTCTCGTGACTTCAAGCACGGTTGGGCACACTTCGCGATCAGAGCCCGAGTGCCCAAGCCCATGACACTAGGGGAGCTTGGACAACCCGAAGCCAAGTGCCAAAGCGCGCTCTGAAATTCGCCACGGCGTCCCGACTCGAGCGAAGCTGGCAGGCATGGTGGATGTCAATGTCACGCCCGACAAGAAGACCGTATTCCTACACCACGAGGTGCGGGTTGTCGAAGATTCGTGTGCCGTACAGGGTCAGGAAACACTGCATTGCTGTTTCGTCGTCGTGCAACGCGAAGGCCAGGAGAGCACTCATGCTCCAACGGTGCCTGCGCGTTCTCAGAAATCTCAATCTTCCCTCAAGGAAGCCTTGCTTGGTGAGCTGCAGAAGTCTCTTACGCAGGCTGGTGTGGTGCTGCCACGTGGGGGTGGTGTGGGTGGTGGGTGTGGATGTTTGCAGAGGTGGTGATGGAGCGGTTGTAGTGGACCTGTTTGTTGAAGTCATGTCGTTGCCGTGCCACCATGGTCACCGGCTGCATACCACCATAGGTGCTGTCTGCCGGGCCCGACACTTCCCAACGCGGCCTCTGCAGCTTTGGCGTCGTGCCAGGGGCCCGATAAAGAGGTTGAAGCCTTGCTTGTGCAGGTCCGCATCCCTTGACTCCGTGCTTCATGATGAGGTTGAAATTATTTACATAGTGATATTTGCCCAGATGCAGGGTGGACCCAAGTCCTTGTATTGGAAGAGCCTCACAATGCAATCTCTGTTTTTGATGCACGTCGTACGCCTAATGGCACCAAGAGCTCCTTGGGCTGCGAGTGCGAGGCCCGTGCTGAAGGATACTTCCATCGCGTTGAAGGCAGAGGAGGCCGCAGCGCAGTGTCTTGTACAGATGTCATGTCAGGTCCACGTGTCCAGGGAGCAATAGAAGGCTTGTCAGGAAATCTCAGTGCAGCTTACATTAGGCTGACATGCTCTTACCTGCTCGGATTAGCTGGAGCCGTTCCGAAAGAAAATTCGCCTCCTGCCCTGGCCGACTCCTTGTAATGCTCAGTTCTCCGCAACCCGACTCCGATCTAAAGCGGTGCAAGGCTCGTATAAACCGTTTCTGAGAGCCCTGGGGTCCTGTTTTAAGGTCACTCTTTGGGGTGACCGCCGTGAGGCCAAAGAGTCGCCACGCAGCCGGGAGCCTACGCATTCTTTGCGATGCCCAGCCGGGCCCGGGCCCTTCTCTCCAGAGCCGAGCTGAGGTACTCTGGATCCACCGCCGGAGCCTTCTGTGCACGCTTCCAGCCTCGAGGTTCGCCCTCCTCGGAAAGCTCACAGCTTGGTCTGGCATGTCCTTCGCTGCCGATCTTGTGAGGAGACGCGTGGGAAGCCGGACTTGGTAGCTCTGCCGCGGCCTGAGCCCGCGGCCCCGGAACTCAGGTGCTTTTTGCCTTGAACATCGGCATGAAGAAGCATGGGGGAAGGTTGCGGGATTGCAATTTCTCGCAGCATGGGGGAACGCCGCAGTGTTTAGTTTGAAACAGAGAACTTGAGCCTAGGCCTTGAATCAGCAATGCCAAAGTCACAGATGCCGTGGCTTTCCACAACATAACACACCTGCATCACTCGAGGCAGAATCCACTCTGCATCCAGATCCCAAGCACTCTGAACTTCCATGCAACATTTCCTGGCCCGAGGCCCTTGCAAGACTTCACAGTGCCGCAAACCTTGACAGCCGAAGTGGACGTGGAGGGCTTGTGCCTTTGCAGCATTGCAAGTCGCTGGCCTCTGTGAAATTTAATTACGGCTTCGCAGTAAGTAGCCCGACTTCAAGAAGCCAAAGCTGATCAGTTCACTGCAAGTGTTAGCCTGTTGCATGCCGCTGCCTTCTTTCACCACCTCAGAACCAGAGACGCAACCAGAGACGCGCCAGCGTCTTTGTACAGCTCCCGGCATGGGGACAGAGGTTCCAACTACCCGGTGCATCATCACAACCACTAGCACATTTCTGTTCGTTTCTGTGTGCGTGTGCGAGGCGCATCATCGAATTCCGGGAGGAAGCTCCTTCCCACGCACAGGTCCTGAGATGTTGCCTCGCGCATGCTACACAGGTGTGTCTGTCTCAAAGGATCTCTTTCTTGTGTGTGGGTGTGGGTGTGTCCCGCCCTGTTTGTACAGTACAGCAGTACTGTGCGATGTTTCTTGGACGGGAATCAGTTTGCTGCATCGGTCAGTCTTGTGACGTCATTCATTGGCCTTCGCTGTTCACTGATGACT